GAATTATAATACCTGTGCAACTATGTTAAGGTGCTTATGTGGATGCTGTGAGATCATGCCAACTGCTACAGAATGCATCTGCTGTTCAGAAATAGATAAAATTCAAGATAAAAAGACTGAAGAAGGTGTCCAGTGTCTGACATTGCACCAAGGATTCCAATCTGTTTGTCTTGATGTTTGGCTACTCCAAACAGCGTATGCTTCATTACAACAACACTATGGAAGTAATGCCCCTCATGGGTCTGTACATGAGTAAGTCGAGCATAATTCAATGCCCTGATGGGTCACTTTATTATTTAGGAGATACAGGCATACTGCATATAGACAGCTGGTCTAGTGGTGTTGAGGCTGGCTAGGAAGAAATAATCGTGTACCATTACCAGCATGTGCTGTACACAAAGTAAGAACTACGTTTCCTTCTGACACTTACACTGGATTCAAATACCCATCATTAAATTAATGATTTACGAACATGATAATAATTATGACATCAATTTTGTGAAAATCTGCTACAATGATTCTCTATAGCCTCTTGCTTGTCAGGCCTCTCGAACTGTGAACTAAGGGGAGGTGGAGTAGATTGTGTAGTGCTTTCCGCTGGTGTGTCTTTAGAATGCAAAGTAAAGACTTCAGTTAGTAACTGGTCAATAAACCCTATTATAACCATCATCATCTTATAATTAGGTAAGCAATTGAACTAACCATAATTAGTAGGTGTCTTTACTTGTCGTATTATATGTCCTCCTTTTTTGTACTTCAGAAATATTATATTATAGCGTTTTTCACCTTTTCTAGTAATGGCTTGGACTCTGCCAATATTGTGATTTTAATGGAGTGCTGCCAGACAACCTGTGAAATTCATGTACATAATAAGCATGGTTTGCACTTTGCAATACCTAGTCATCATTCCAGTGTAGGAAAATACTGCATGTTTAGGTGCATACTGGTTGATCAAACTATGAAATGCCTCTAAACAGGATGTCTGGTAGCTATTTGAGAGTTTAGATGTATCACTACATAGTCTTATATTATTGATGACAGAGAGTAGCTGATCACTCTGCTTCGTATCTATTAAGTTAAAAATTCAATTTTTATTGGAACATGTTTTAGACATACTGTATTTCAGCCATCTTCTCTTTCTTAGACGTCCATGAGCGCACTTCTTATACTTAGTACCATGACCATGATGTTTATTGTGAATATGCCTTCGTAAGGACAGCCACTTCTCAAGTATCATTTCTGGGTCTCCATCTTCACTTGACATTGCTGCCCAGTACAAGTGGTTCACCATTCTTTTGATCCAACTACCAACCTCCTCACATCCTTTTCTTTTTGCCAACTTTTTTACCTTCTTTCTAAAACCTATATTTATAATTCAGAAAACATGAATGAATAAGACAGCTATAAAATACTTTTTGCTATGTGCCAAACGTCAAATTTGTGATCAATTTGTGGTAGATCTTCTCGAATGTACTTTCCTAACTGCTTATGTCGGTCTGTTACCAACATTTTGATTGGGAGATCATATACTTCAAAAATTTTCATTCCTCTCATAAAACATTCCTTTTCCATGTTAGTACTTCCACTCACCTCATTACTCTACATTAAAAAATCATCAATTGTACATACATTCATTGTTTTTACAAACCTGTACTAACTCAATATTCAGAACAACATTGTGTTCAATTTCCAGAAAGGTGTAAGATCCATTCTTTGTGCTGAAACCAGGGCTGTCACAACGACCATCCCCTCCTAGTATAAGAGGTTTCTTCTCAACTTGCAACACCGTTAGCATGCTATTCTGATGCTCTTTCCAGACATTACTGACAGCTTGCCGTAAGTACTTCATTTGACGTGAGTAAAATGTTGCTTCAGAGATACAAGCACAGTTCATAATGGCAAAAAGCCTCAACACTTTAGAGAGGAAAGATCGAGAGAAGATAATTGAGAAAGCAATCAGAACGTTGCCATTTGGAGTACAATCATTTAAATATGGTTGACTGTTCCAAGTCCATTCATCCTCACAGAAGCCACAATAGACTTTTACCTGCAACATACTTCCAATGGTGTTCAAAGTATATTGTACAGGTCTATTGCAGTTACTGCAAGTATGGCTGAACAGATGAAGGAGACAAGACTCGAAAACTAAATAAGTTCTTTCTCTACAAGTAGCACTGTCGTAGCTTGGGTAGTCATCATCAGACCTGTTTCAAGTTGTATATAACAATAGCCAAAAAACAAATGTCTATACTCACATATTGCCATCATCTTCAAAGGAGAAATCAGCTTCAGATATACAAGTAGATGCATCACTTTCACCATCTGTTTCATATTCCATCTCTTCATGTCTGTGGCACTTACTGTTCTTGCTCTCTCCCTTTTCTGAAGTGCTGTAGAAGTTCTAGACTTTGTCTTATTGTAGGGACGACTTTTGAAAATTGTAGGAATAGCATTTGGCTTAAGAATACGTTTCATTCTTAATCCCAGTTTGTCTGCTATGCTCTCAAAGCAGTCCTCAGAAAAGTGATCACTGCAGACTTCAGAAAATGCACTAGGCTTTTTCCAGTCTGCTCTGGTCTTCTTCACCTTTAGTATCCACTGTCTCCTTGTTAATATATTAGAAGGAAACTTATGAAGACTAATTCCATCCCTGGTAGTGTTGCTACAGCCTCCTACAATACACGGCCTGACCATCTTTCCTGCCTGGCATGGATATGCGTGTTCCTACATCTACGTCATCAGATTGCTCCACCCTCATCAGGAAGTAAATTTCAAAATGGCTGCCACAATGAAGAATTGCACTTTTCATCCGCAATTTTCTCTGCAATGAACTATGCAAGTTGCTACACTACGCCTGCAACGTTGGTTTTTTGATATGAAGAGTTTGAAAATGCAAAAATTATGATATGTTAATTTTCGGTAAAGATACCCTTTAACTATATGGCAGCATGCATTTTAAATACTATCATGTATACAGAGAAAACATTTAAGAAGAGTGTTAAGAAGGAGGAGGAGGAGAATGAGGCCATGCATAGTCATGCGCCTAGTTAGAGAAGGGGAACGCTGGAGGGCTCAGTAACTGACTTACGTACATTTACATGACTTAATAATACTGATTAAGAACTACAATCCATGCAATCCCTCTCACTTTTCATTATATACCTTCATTACTATTTGACGTTATAATTCCAAATAGCTGCAGCAACTGCATGGAGCACTTGCTACTGCATGGTTGTCTCTGAAAGAAATAATAAAGAGGAGGGAGGGAGAGAGAGGGAAAGAAAGTAATTAAGATTATAGTCAAGATAAGAAGCCATGCAAAATTCAACTATTTTAGGGGACCTGGGTCCTTCAGATATCCCCAGGAAAAAACCACCACACCATGTAATGTGTATTAAAGTATCTATGCTCAAGGAGAAAAGAATGTATTACTGTCCTGCTCCAGTAAATTTGAGTTGATGAATGGGGCCACTCCTCTTCATAATTTACATCAACGATCTTCCTTTTGTTCTAAACTCTGCAATCCCATATCTCTTTGCAGATGATACCAAATGCCTCACGACAATTGAGTCTGCTAGTGACGCTATGGCCTTACAAGTGGACTTGGACTAGTGGCTGGTGCAGGGAGAATGATTTATATTTCAATACCTCAAAGTCATGTCTCCTTCGTAAAGCGGTCACATCTTCTAACTACTCAATAAATGGCTCTACAATCTCTTGCAAACAATATTGTAAAGACCTTGGTGTGCGCTATTCTCATCAGACCTCTCATGGTCAGACCACTACAACTCGATATCAGCAAAGGCTTACCAAACACTAGGTCTACTATGGCGGTCTTTCTCTCCATCACTCTCGGTGTCAAGAAAAGTATCTATTTTTCTCTTGTGAGATCAAGAATGACTTATATATATCTCACAGGTCTGTCTTCAGGAACATGTACAGAGAAGGATTACCAAGTATATTCCTAAGGATTATCAATCGGACTACAACGTTGAAGCCAACCTATTTAACCAGTTCTTTGTGTTCTCCAGTCACTC